AGGTCTCGAGATGAAAAACCGGTATAGACGCAGAACGTACACACAGACACATATACACACAAACAATCCCTTATCAGTATGAGTTTCCTTTGCATTGCCTAGATGCAAAAAAAGCATAAAAACACAAACGTTGGAGCACTTTTAAGAGTTTCTAATTTTGTTTCTGTTACAGTGTGTTCGAGAAACTCGTTAGCCGCTCATAGAAATGAGTCTTGTTCTACTGAGTCATATTTGCTTCTTGAACCAGCACCGTGTTATTTGTGCTCAATGAATTCATTATGACTGTTATTTTGTTGCTCGATCTACGTGATGTCACTAAAATTTTAGATTTCAAATGCCATAGTACTACGATTTACGCGGCCTTCTCCATCCCGGTAGCTTCCTGCCTTCGCAACTCTGACTTTGCCTGTACCTTTCTCTTAATGGACGTTGCCCTGAGAGATACTGCTTTTACTAGAAGGAGGTACCTCGCCGGTTTTCTTTCTCCTGAACTCTTGATAAGCAATCAGAAAACATCTCAAATCCCTGGTGTGCGAAAATTTATTGCGGGAATGTGTCAGAAATGGAATATCTGTTTTCCTCAGCGACCGCTGCTTTTTTTTTTGCTGCATGCTTTTAGGATTGTACCATAAAAGTGGTACTTTTACATTATTTCCATACTGTTGTTTTCTCATTGTTGATAATTTTCATTCTATTCTAAATGATACGTATCAAACGAACTGCAAATTTTGCTATATTGTTGTGTCGGAAGCGGGAATTTCTTCAGAGTGCTATAAAAATGTGATCGCGTACAGTAACAGAGCGACAGAGCAGGGCATAGTAAGCCGATTGTAGTTTCCAGGTTGATCTAGGGTGCCAAAGTAAAACCAGTATGCGGTAAAATTAGGTGCATTCCATTGGGAATATGGGAAAATTAGGAAATATGAGAAACTGAAATACCTGTAGAAAGAAGTTACATGAAGCGACATTAAGATCATAACAAAATATAGTTGGATCCGGTGTGTAACAAAATTTTATTATGCATTTTTTACATGAAAAGATCGACACTTATTTGTATCACTTTCTGATTATCCATTTCCGTCATTTTCGGTTTCCGATCGTCTTTGTTTGAACCCTTCTTCATTAGGTTCGTTTACGACTTGGCTTTTTTTGGCTCGATTTTTTATTTTTTGGATTGCTTTCGATTAGCTGTTCAATTAATGACCGTGAGTTGTTCTTTTCTTTGAGCTGCGATAAATGAATAAGAGCTTTTGGCCTTTGGCACCTTACAGGGGAATATACTCCGTTCTTGCCCATAGCCTCACTTCCCATCATTTTCTTGCGTTTTCCTCTGTCTCCTGACGATTCCCTTCCCATATACATGTTTCGCAAATTCATTTTCCCTTTTTCATTACCTTTTTACCGGAATTTTGCACATATTCGACGCTGTTTGATTTGTACCCAAAAATGAGTGCATGTTAAGTGGGAACTAACTTCCCCTCAGCACTGAGTTTCGCGAAGTATATGAAAGTCATAGGAGCTAGCATAAACAAATAGCGGCGTGCACCAGGACGGTCTGTGAGTTTTAGGCAATTTCTTTCAACGAACGGTTGCTTGTTAACGTTGAAGAGTAGTCAAAAATTCGACGTACCAGTACGTGAAAGCTGAATGTGAAGCCTAAAAGATTGGATATCCTTGGAAAATTTCATTCTCAGTCTTCTGGCGTTCGAATAAAACTTCCACGTGGTCGTACGTAAGACCTCATCGTACCTAGGAACTGAATTCGAGTTTGTCAAGCTCCTGCTTAGGGAGGAAACACTTTTCCGAAATT